ATTAGGGAGACGTCTTGCGACACGACAGTATCCTCCTGGTAACACCCATCAGCTGAAAGATGCGTTAAAGGAGGAATGGAAACGTTTATCCCAAGAACTCCTGGATAATCTGGTGCTTAGCATGGAGAGACGATGCCAAGCAACAATTACAGTAAGGGGAGGGCATATTCCATACTAGGGAACATCTGCCAGTTGTACTTACGCTTCTTCAGGCAATCATGTGTAACGCCACTATATGTCAAATAAAGCCTTTTTTTTAATTCCATACCCTACTTTAAGCTTTATATTCATTTCTGCGCCATTATTCTTTTACCATCGTTTAAGTACAAAATAATGTACATCATATTCAAATTTCATGTCAATCGGATAATTTCTTGTAGAGTTATGACAAAAAACGCACTTGTTGCTTAAGTTTTGCACACCAGTGTATATAACAGATGGGAAATCAAACTGCAATTGAGCTTAACAATTCAGCTACGAAATTCTTCATAGATCTAATTTCTTTATCAGACTTCAATGATCTTTCCAACTAAATCTGTATGTCCGAAAAAAAAAACAATTGTGGTGGCAACATTTTATTTAATAAATGAATTTTCTTCAAAAAAACATACTAGAAATTTTTCGACTAAATCTTATAGTAATTCACAAAAAAGCAATCAGGTCTAAAAGGCACCTTTTAAAAAAAGGATATGTCGCTTACCCTTAAAGTCTTTTTTAAGTGAACTATTTTTTTAAATAAAATAATAACATTAAATACAAAGATTTTCAACGAACACATGGCTTTGAGAGTTACTTAAAGTCGTGATTATCATGCAAAAGCGAAAAGTTTGAATGTTAAATAGTGTCAGATAAATTACACTTGGATAGATAATTCAATGTTTCAGCCCTAATACGTTAATGAATCGCACTATTAAATTATGCGTACCAGTTCAAATTTCAAAATCAAATATTCTTTTTCCAAACTTTAAGTAACTCAAAAAGAGTCATATGTAGTTATAATAATAAAAAAAATATACCTGTAAGCTTACATTTTCTATAACTATTTAACGATTCGTTTTCAGATTTTGAGTTTCAAAGTAAAATAACAACATAATTAAAATTATGAACATTGAAATTATAAAAAGCTTTCATTAAATTTACATTTATCATAATATTTGTTATTTTTAACTAAATTTTTTGGTAACACACTTAGCTGTTATGACCGGCTAACTTACCTTAATTTTTCTAAATAAGTTTGAATCATTCTGTATACTTCATCTGATCATTACTATCAGCCCTGTGGCAGAATTTTTTCGGGCTTTCTGCCACAAACTTCCCTAACACTAATATATATTTTGCTTTAATTATACTTTTAATTATAACAATTATTAATTTAAAGTAACAGAACCGTTGTGTTTACAGAAAAAAGTATAGAATAAAAATGTGTAAAAATTTTAATTGTAAAAGTAATATTTTTTTAATTCTAATATTATAGGCGATATATTCGCATTTTGTTGGCGGAAAAATGCACTAATTATTTCCTCTTTCAAATTTTATAAATCAAATTGAAATTCGTAAATAATTTAAATGATAATAAATAAAGATTCGTACATAAATTAAAAAATCGTAACATTCGTGCAGTAACTCCCAAAATAAAGATCGACGACGAAATCACGCGAATCTTTAGAAAAGAGATACTCAAAAAAGTGTATGTAAAACATAGTGTTCTTTAAAGAGAAAAAAAATTAAAGAAAGAACATCATTTCTACTTTCGCGATTTCTGAATTTCTTTTATCTTATATTATTAATTTGAAATTCTTGCTGAAAACAGTTATGACCGATTTTTAAAAAAATCTCAAATGAGAATTGAAAAATCACGATTATTTCTTTCCTCTCTGGTGCGCAAGGAAGACATCTTTGAAAAAAAAATTCTGCAGGAAACAAAAAAAAAAAAAAAAAAAAAAAAAAAAAAAAAAAAAAGCATTTTTCGAAAAATTATGCAGAAAGGAAAACCAAAATCTCCCCCTTCCCAAATGAAAAATTTTGTTGCAAAAACTCTGTAACGTTCTGCGACAATGTCGCCGCAATTCTGCCACGGGGACTATCAGATTGCTATTCTTCTAGAAGACAAATATTCTAGTTCTCATATCGAGCGATGAGTTTTACTTACAAGAATGGATCAATAAACAATCAAATATACAAATTCCTAAACTAACTTCAAGCATATCGTCATAATTAAAGCAACTTTCACAAAGGAAACTTATCGAGTGGTACAAGAATTAGCCTGGTGGTAGTGTATTACTGATAATGTAATGGTTTCTAATTTACCATCTTATTACTTCGACAAAAAATAACTTGTAATTGACAACCTAAAAAATAATTTGTTAATTTATCTTATATCTTAACTTTTCGCATTTATTCTATTTCAGTATTACAACTTCACAAGTTTTGCTTTAGCTCTGAACGAATTGCGAGATAATATGGTTCAGGAACTTCCCAAGACAGACTCGAGGCTAAGACCTGATATACGAAAGTTAGAGGAAGGAGACGCAGGTAAAACTGTAGCACCTTCTTACTTAACATGCTATAAAACGTGGGTCGGCAATCTAGCCCATAAGTCGATCACGGCCCGCCATCCTCTCTTAACAATATTTTTCAGCATTTGTCCAAATCATTCATTAGTAAAAATATTTTTCACGCCTTGATCTTATTGATGTCTGTCTTCCGGACTATTCTTAAACATAAAACGATTCGCAATTGGCAAATTTTTGAAAGAAAATATATTTGCGAACAAACATTCAGTTATCGAATCTAGGTTCACAAACGAGCATCAACTAGTCAAGCGTGTGCTTTCAAACTGGACCACATTAAATCTTATTTCACACGTACCGCTGTTGGTGTACCGCCACGATTTAAATTATAAAAAAATTTTATTTGCGAAATTAACGTCAAAAGGTAAAACATAATCATTCTATACTGAAATCGTTTAATGCATATATTTTTTTTATTAAAAATGTCTTCTCAAACTTTATATGCTACAATGTAATTTTATATAAAAGTAAAAATATAATTTCATATCAAAAGCGTCATGATTTTAGTATATAATTTGTTTTATCAGACGAAATGGCTTCGAAATCTTTCTCGAAAACAAGCAAGAAATTGAAATTATACGGTTTCCTTGTGCATGTTTTGTATACAATGTGCATACACTTACAAATATTGTTTAGTCATTACTCTAGGAAGTATATGAAAAACTTCCCTAATTCAGTTTACTATGCGCGACTTTTTAAGTGGGAAAAGAATAGTATGAAATTTGAATTATATCATGAGATTCAATTTCATTGTTCGAGACATGACACAGATAGGCCGTTTTTCGATATTCTTATGTACAGAGAAAAATAAAAAAGTGGTCTAAAATCATTTCATCTGTTTTCAGATTGTACCAAAACAAAGTCGAAAGATATTGCTTGTGGAGAAATGTATAACTTTGATTAACAATCTCCTGATGATTTTTTTTAAAACTGAAGAGCTCAATATAAAAAAATCTAGAAACGAATGACACTTAAACACAAATATGTATACTTCTTTCATTTTTTTCCCTGTGACTTGTCCCGCAGTGGACTGATCGTTAAGACACGGTTCTCATCAGATCACCGAAGTCAAGCATCACTGGCTGCGGTCAGTGTGCGGGTGGGTGACCCACGGGTCTGGGATTCTGTTTATACCGAGGGTGTGCGGTATTGGTCCTCGTTAAACTGTGCTACCGTAAAGTGCTCGACTTCGCGCGCAGGTCGTCGGGCTACCGAAGCGGGGGTGCCATCCCCTCCGCAGAGGATCAAAATTGTGATGGCATGTCTTCGGATCATCCTCCGGGATGTTTCCCAGACCGTCGCCAATAGCCCATTGTGCAGCTCTAGTGCGACGTAAATTAACAACAACTTCCCTGTGACTTATAACTATCTCATAATACGATCATCAATAATATTTTACTTTAAATAGGAAAACAAAATTTTATCAACAGAAGCAGTTTTGAAAACTTTTTGCTATTCAAATTTTGTAGAAATAACATAATATTAGAAATTACATAAATATTCAACCATAAAATTAGACGAAGTAATCTTAAAATCATAAATTTCTCAGTGAAGTGCATAATAATTATAATAAAGTTTATTTATTTATTTAAGCGTTATAAGATTTTACAATATATATATANATATATATATATATATATATATATATATATATATATATATATATATATATATATATATATATATATATATATATATATATAAATATAATAACAGGGCTACATCCCTGTTATCATGGTTGTATTCAGCTTGAATAATTCAGTCGTAAGCCTAAAAAGATTTATTTAAAGGTAGGCTGGTGGTTATAACAGTCACATCCCCACTTCACAAGGGAGGGGGTGTCGATAAAACTCCGGATGGCTCCGGCAGATCTTTTATGGAACACGTTATTCAGGAAGAGACATGCGAAAACCATCGCTCTCGCATTAAATACTTACAGACATGAAGGTAAAAAGGCTCAGTCACTGCATAGTTTGTAACTCTACTCATCATCGATAATCATTTAATGCTTCCTAATATGGAAGTGAAAAAGGGTCAAGATTCTAAAAATAACTCCTCCTTTGAAATATAAATCTAATTATAATTCAATGGTATGTTTTGAGCCTTGAAGTCCCAAAATAGAATTCCTACACCTATTCTTTACCAAAGACATTTTATGAAAACGAAAGAGTTTTAATGGTTTAATTAATACAAAAGTATTTATAATTTTTGTATTCCATATATATAAATTTGCCTATTACAGAGGGAGCTGCAATAGAGAAATCAAGAGTAGAAGAAAAACAGAGAGAAGCTCGAAAACAAAGAAAGAAGAAAAAGGAAACCTATAATCCTAAGTAATATTCTTCTGCAAAATATTCATTCATTTTATAGTAAAAATTAGGTTCAGTTGAGTTTGACCAAATTTTTATAAAAAAAGTTCACATAATTAAATATGTAACTTAAAACAGTGATGCTCACATAGATAACGTTTTTGCATTCCAAAATTAGATTTAAAAAATTGAGCACCAAAAACTTATACTTTCTCTATGTTTGCAACTTTTTTCGAATAATTTTTATTTTTACTTATTTTAGTCAATGCACTTTGCAAGTTACAAATTAATTTACAGTAATAGTTCGTAAATTGTTTAAAATTGGATAGCAAATTTAGTAATAGAAAGAGAATATAGAATTTCCACACTTACTTTTCATTGGGAGGAAACAGTTTTGAAGTTGTTACCACGTCAAGTTAATGTAGATAAAAACTCTAAATTTTATTAGAAATATCATTAAAAATATTATTGCAGAAAATAATTTAAAATCAAAAAGCGCCTTTGTAAACTTTTATTTGAAACTTATAGTTAAAAGTGTAAAAAGAACTTTTTCTTAGAAAACGTTTCTATAACTACTGCTAATATTTTGCAAATATCTTTAACTACTGCAAATAATAAAACTTTATTACAAAGTTAATCTGTCATTTTTAGAAAACGATTACAACAGTTTTCTTAAAAGTTAAAGAATACGACACACTAACAGAATGTTTGGATAACAAATTGTTGTTCAATAACAGTGTATGAGTTATGCAAATTTTGAAACAAAAAAATGAAACGAAATATGAATGCATACATTTTTCAAAGATATGTCTTTATGTGAATAACTATCGTTTTCACACCATTTTATAGGTATTTTCAGAAAGGGAAAAAACCTTACTTAAAGGATGAAGTATGGCTTTTCAACAACCGATATTGGTCCAGGAATTTCGATGATTGTCCAGATATATTCTAGAAAACTTCCTCAGGTGATGAAGATTACAAGTTTCAACGTTATAGCTATATGTGAAAGTTAGACAAAAAGAGAAAGCTATTTTATTTTGTTTTAAACATAGTTGAATGCTTTCACAGATAGCATGCGCTGTGTTCAATAATTAGTATTCTTTGAAGAGCATGAATTTATTTCATAGCTACACAAACTACATGGTGCTTTATTGCATATTGTTGAGATGTAATTCTTTAAGATATTATTTACAATAAGCTATTTTATTCAATGATAGTTAATTTGTCTTTCATAATTGTGTGCATGATTTGCAGCTGATTTTATGGCAATAAAATTTTAAATGAATAAGTTTATGACAATTAAAGAGAATAATCAAGATATGAATTTATTAATGAAATCTCAAGCTATTAGGTTTAATTTTAGGCTATTTTCTTCCAATAAAATCTCAAGCATTGTAATAGTTTTAGAAAGTATATATAAACAATCAGATTACTTAATAATAATTTATTTATGAACTATAGAACAATTATTTAAACAGCAATTTCAGAATACTTTCAACCAACACAGTCTAAATTAAAACAGTTTTGGAAACTAAAGGTTATAAATAAGATATTACCAATTTACTTATCAAATTTAAAGTTCCAAGCTTTTAATAAAAAGAAAAAAAAAATATTTTCAGTAAATGAAAATGAATAATTCAAATAAAGAATAATTCTAATTTATTTTTCGAGAATTAATTAGAATAATCAAAATCAATACAAATAATTAAAATCAGTGATAATCAAAATGAATAATTAAAATTAATCATAATCAATATGAATAATCAAAATCAAAAGTTATAATTAAAATAGTTGTTTTATTAGGTTATATAAATATAGAGCGTTAGATAATAACTCTTCACTAAATTTACATATTGAATATTTTTTATTATTAAAATATGCTATAATTTAAGCAAAAAGCTGCTCTTAAACATTTCAATGAATTTATATAAATTCCTTTATTTGCTATAATTAAATATCTAAAATGATAATAATGATAAATAAATAGATTCTAAATAAAAAAAACTATTATGAACAAAAACTAAATGTTATAAAATCAAAATTCCTCAAAATAAATTTTTTTGTAATATTACTTTAAGTAATTTATAAATCGAATATCATACAATAAAGTAATAAAAATTTATAATTCTTAAATTTAGTTTTATATTCACTTATAAAGTGCATATTAACCAAACTATGTTTAGAGTCTCATATGCCTACGGGTCCATATATACTGTCTTAAACCTTCATTCCTTTATCTTTACTGCAGTAAAAACAAATAGCTTAACAGTATGCAAAACCTAACAGTACAGTAGCTTAACCACACGCAAAAAAAAGTTCTTTTAAATGCTACCAAGAGATGGCATTACAAATTTGAATATTTTAATAGTTGTAACAACTTTCGGTACTGAGTTCTGAAGACAAACGGGTTAAATGAAATGTTTTTACCATTGCAAAAATTGCACAACTTTTTTTTCTTCCAATATCACAAATAAACTTTTGCACTTTTAACAGACTATCCAACAATTCCATGCATATTTTACAGTATTTCTTAATCAATATTATGGTTATTGAGATATTCAAATAGCCCACAATACAGGTAGAACATATCATATAGTGCCTAGAATAATTGCTTATCGAATAATGTTTCGAAAAAGCATTAAAAGCTTGCTGAACTAGTAAAATAGTGTAGTACCCTGATTAGAAGTAGTTGCGTTTAAGTCCAAAGAAGACTAACTGTAGTGAAGTTTGGTTTAAGTGACAAATAACTGCTTTAAAAATTATATGTATGCAAAAATGGAAAGGATGAGTACTTCCCGGTGAATTTTTATCTGTAGTCAAAAATATTTTTAGATATGCTAAAAATGCAGTTTGCATCAAGATTAGTAGTCAGTTATATTATATTGCGCTTCAGTTATACAAAGCATGCGAAATCGAAAATGTATCGCATGGTGTTGGCCATCCCTTATTACATATTACTAAAAGTAACCAGACATTGCACCTTTAGAAAAATGATTCAGTTTAAAATTGTGATATTCCTATTTTCAACCTTGATATTATGCCTATTTGCTGCTCAGGGAGGATTAATTATCATAATCTATATTATATAAAACGCTGATACGTACGTATGTATCAATAAAACCGATATTTCTTTTCTCGCGCTGGCAACAGTTTTCATTTTTAATTGATTGGATTCGGCGTGCAAGAGCACGTAGTGAGCATCATACGGCTAATCCATGATATATAAAACGTTAATACGTTTTAATTGATAGGCTTCGGCGCGCAAGAGCACATCATATGGCTGATCTATATTATATAAAACGCTAATACTAAAACGTATGACATTGATAGGATTCGGCGCGCAAGAGCACGTAGTGAGCGTATCATATGTCTAATCGGGTGAATTCTCACCGAATTATCAAAAAAATTCTCACAAAATTATCTTCACCGAAGCCGATGCTTTTCATCCGGCTTTCAGTACTATTTCATATTGTTTTACAACACATGGTTTTAGCCCTCTGATGGGAAAGACTTTAAAACAAAACTTACAACAGTTACTTTTCTCAACAACTGAAATTTAGAATAGTGTGATTAAGAGAAATATGTGAACTGTTTGCAATTTCAAATTAATATTGAAATGCACAGGTTTAGAATTTTCTACAGTGAAAAGTTTTCGGAACTTCAGTTGTCAAAAAAGTATACAAAAGCTAGACGTTAAGAACGTATCCAATGTGCGAGCAAAGCGATTGCGAAGCAATCCGAAATGAACTGCGAAAGCAGTTCCGGGGGTTGGCGAAGCCTCCTAGTAATTAATAAAGTCTAAGCAGGCAAAAATAGCATATTAATACAATTCAATTTGATACCTTATTTTAAATTGCAGCAAATTTTCAAAATTTTATTATAGAACATGCTGAAATATATATTTTAAAGACTATATTGTTAATCTTATGGTTCTTTTCGAATATGGAAAAATAAATTGATTCAAAAGCTTTTGGTTAAATTTTAAAGATTTTGCCAAATTTTTTAAAAGCATGAAATGCAACAAACACAATCAATATTTAAAATGGAATGACACAATAATATTCAGTTCAGTTTAGGCATATATGAACTAAATAAATAAGTTGGTAGCATCATTATAGAGCATGCGATTATATATATGTATTAAATATACATATTCGAAAGATTACACATGAATGGCATAAATTTTTTCTGCTCAGTATTTAAATAAGGTGGTTTTTTACAATCTCCTGTAACTCTTTTTCTTCTTCTTCCAATTTACTAAAATGCTAACGTGTTTTTCCACTGAGCTTGCAATATTTTATCCAATGTTTTGTACAGTTCTTTTTTTAAAGATTATTTTAAAATTAATTGTTATAAGTAGACTAATAATAATTTAACAAATTTTTTTGGGCACAGTTTTTTTTTCAAGTTAATTTTTAGCTTATTATTATTTAAATCAAATTAAAAGTTTATTCTACTTAATAAAACTAAAAAAATTTTGTCTGGCTACTTTTAGTGATACCGAATATTTTTTTCTGTATATTTTAAAGAATATAAACCAGTATATTTTTAAAGAAAATGGAAATTGATTGAAATAGAAAATCAACAAAGTTTTCCATTACTGCTCTTTTTTTTATATAAACAAAAAAAGGGTCCAATATAAAAATTTACAAACAATATTTTGTGCATTCTACAAAAATAAAATTCAGATTTTCAACAGAACCACGTTAGAAATGTAAAGAAAAAAATATTTCATAGATTTTTTAAACACATTAAAAGGTGCTTGAACTTTTTAATTTAGAAATGAGGATTTCATTTATTTCTGCATATCTTTCGGCACTTTTAACTTTTTTCACTTATCGAAGTAAACTGGTTAGATGCACGGCTTATTAGAAAACGATGTTTTATTATCTATATTATACAATATGCTAGCGGCCATATTTATTTTGGCTAAGATTCTCTAAAGTTAAATATTAAAATTTCTCACTGAACACCAAAGAAAATAACATTTTAGTCAAAATTATGTTTTAGTTCAATAAAAGAAATGCTCATTTACAAAATTTAAATTGGTACATAAAGCTGATATCAAATTATTTATATTATATCTCATAACAGTACACAGTTTTTAATGATAAAACACTATTCATAAAATTTTGAAAGGTTTTGTTTACAAATCGTCATGGATAGGTTTTAATTTAAAGAAATGAAGTTAAATGGCTTATTACTAAGAAACCAATTGTACCTTGATAACATTAATAAACAATTCTTTTTTACTACTGATATTTGAATTTATATAAAGTATTATTGGTTAACTAAATAGTTGCATAGACTATTTTATTGAAGTTCTTAAAAGGAGGGATCAAATAATATAAAAATTGAAAAGTTTATAGAAGCTCTATGTACACCAAAAGAAAAAAAAAGAATGAAAATAGGCTTTTAATAATCAATTTAGCAGTTTCTAAGAAAAACTTATATTTGTAATTGTTTTTTTTTAATTTCTTAAATTAAAGTATGATTTAATTTTAAAGTGTTATATGGAAAAAAATCCTACTTCACATTTTTAATGGAATACATGCAGAAATAAGTGAAATTTAAAATCCTCCCTTTAACTAGTGCCTGTAGAATAGATAAATTATTTCAAATGATAGTTATGAACAGAAAAATAGAACTATTAATATTTTTGTACAAATAATTTTGTTTTACAAGATATTTTGATGTGTTTCTTCCCTTTTAAAAATAATTTAGATGTTTTTATCCTTTCAAGGAATATTTTAATGTTCTTTCTTAAGGGATATTTTGATGTGTTTCTTTCATTTTGGTGTGCATAGTGTTTGTGCATTACATTTCATGAATGTCCCAATAAAAATATTTGTTTTGATTTTGTTGTTATATTGCAACAATTTTCTGACTGTTAGAATGATATTTAAATGTGATCAAAATTGTAGTCTTACTAATCTTTTAGCATAACAAAGAAGTGGGTAACAGATAAATATTTTAGATTTTTAAAATCAAGAAGTTAACTATTTTAATTCATCATTTCTTAACCATTTTAAACCGACTTTCACATAATTAAAAATTTAACTATGAAAGTAGCTTAATTAAGCATCGACATTCTAAAAGAAGCATTTAGGAAATGCCCCATGGGCGATTCTTTCGTTACGTGTGTTACTTTTACACGACATATTTCAACTTTAACACTTATTATAATAAACTTGTTAGATATTTTTTATGATTTTCTTAATTTGTTGTTAAATCTATATGTGTTGTAAGTTTTCAAAACGACGATTGAAGGCGCAAATTAATTTGATGTTGAAAAAAAAAATTTCTGAAATTTTGTTACGTGTGTTACCCTTTATAATGCTAGATATTTGAAACTTTGAATATATTCATTTAATTCTGTGAAGTATAAAGGCAAAAAATTAAGATATTTTCTTTTATAGAGAGATACAATATCGAAGCTGTGTTTAGTGATTTTTAAAAATTTCTTGCAACAGTAAAAACTTCTTTATTTTGGTGAAATTGGTGCGTTACGTGTGTTAACTGAACGTTACGTGTGTTACCCTCNAACAATTTTTTATTAAGGAATGCGTGGTCGAAAACAAAACCAAAAACTGCTAGAGGGCGTCAGAGTGTATGTTCTTATATGAGGCAAAA